CCTGTAAATAATCATTACATATCAGAGATAAAACAACCTTTAAAAACATTATTACATATGAGAGTTCAAACCACCCATAAAAACATGACATCAGAGTTAAAACGACCTGTGAAAACATCCATTAAAACCTGTCAAGAAATATCAAATATCAGAGCTAAAGAAAATGTAAAATATAAAATTATCAGAACTAAAAACAACCTGTTAAAACATTTGAATATTGCAACTTAATGTTTTATATATAAAATGTGTCTTTTGATATTTGAAATGTATAATATCACACTCAAATGTTATTCAAGTACCATAAATAAATATAGAAGCTGATATTAACTACAACATATAAACTACTTACCTTACAATTCTTTAGAGCAAGAGTCATTTCATTAATACCAACAGTCTTCATATCACCATTAAACCAACTAAAATACACAGAGTCAAATATAATTATTTCATTGATACCAATAGTTCTCATATCAGATAGTCAAATATAATTATTACATTGATGCCAACAGTCCTTATATCAGAGTCAAATATAATTATTTCATTGATGCCAACACAGTTCTCATATCAGATAGTCAAATATAAGTATTTCATTGATACCAACAGTCCTCATAGAACTGTTAAACCAAATAAAATACACATAGATGATTGTTTGATAATAAGTAAAAAATAATCATTGCATTGAATAGTGTTAAAGATGGGTTCCCGCGTACAAACTGGGTGATTTAATGTTATATATGGACCAAAAACATATTCAAACTAATTAATTTGTCATAATTATGCTTCAAATCCTTCTCAAACATTGTACTTGCGAAGGAATGCCCTGCTATTAAAATTCGATCAAACCAGGTCATGTTCATTGCATACATAAGACGTTGTTGTCTTTAATCGCTTACTATTTACTACAAATATCGAAGTATAATTAAAATCTCGGATTATCCACTACCCGCGTCTTTTTCTGTCATTTTTATCTTAGAAAGTATTGTACTACTAACTCTTCATAAAGTTTATCAACTTGTACATCAAGCGCTCAATGTTCGCTTGTGACCTTTGACATCACGCGTGCAGAAGTTCTTAATCGTCGGGCTGTTGATTAGGGGAACCCTTACATTTTTGTCCTGTATACACTCCATGAGTGTTTTTCGGGGAAACCAGTATTTTTCTAGTAAGATTGGATATCTCTACTTTCCATATATACCAAAATTGCCATACTTTTATTGGAAATAACCACACGATAAATACTTTTCTGGGAACCCATCTTTAAAAATGATTCTAGAAAACAGCTTAATATAATTATTTCATTAAATAATTATTCAACAAAATATTCTTTTTTTAATTTTGTGATGATTAGGGAGATTTAGCTTCCTTATATAAATGTAAAACGGGATAATGTTCATGTACATGTAAAATCTAAGGACATGACATTTCATTTACCAAGAATGTCCAGCTTTTTCCAGGTCATCTTTTAACCACTTTGGATTAATTTTATCTCCAGTTTCCTTGTCTGTTGGCATATCTGACGCACTGTATAAAATGGTCACATCTTTTGACATTTCTGTATTTAATTCCTGCATCATGATAATACTTCTCTGTAGATTGGCATCAAAGTCGGTCGTACTATTTGATGGTAATGTTTCTAAAAATATTAAAACAGTTTTAACCCTTTAGCAGTATGTAGATATTGATTATCCGAGTTCCTTGAAAACAATTAGAGATAAGTCATATAGCTCATACTAGTGTTCCTTAGACCATCTTGTATTGCCCCTGGTATGGTCAGCAGCTCTTCGTATTGTTCACTGTTCATGTGACTCGGACGGTCTAGTATAAGGACACTGGAGCTTCAAGTGACTCAGATGGTCTAGTGAGGTCTAAGGAGACCTAGTTACTGGAGTTTCAAGTACTAAACGGTCAAAGACAACATTCATTTAAATAAAAGACGCCATTTTTTCTATGAGTACTAAAATATATCTGGGGCAGCCCATGTTCATTCATGATAGGAATAAAAACCATGCCACATGACTCATTAAAAGACCTTATGGTCTATAGCAAACATGTTAGACCACCCAACCCCCTAACAATATCAAATATAACTTTCAATTAAAATCAATGTTTACCTTCTAAATGTGACATGGATATGGTGTGGAAATATTTACGACATTGTAGAAATGGTGCTTTATGATCCTTGGCTTTTGTTACTAAATCAGAATCAAACAGACATGGATCTAAAGTTCCCTGAAAATAAAAGAAACAAGCATTTTAAGGTGGTGTTGACTCGACAAATTCAATGTATTGAAATGTTGTACAGTCTATTTGACCGGAGGGAGAATTCAGCTGTCATAAAATTAGAATTCAAACACTTTAAGCTTAAACTAAATAAAAATAGTTAAATTTATAGTCTTTATACATAATATAACACTTGCTAAAAATTGTCATTCTTGTAAAAAATCAATAACTTGCTAATCTGAGGTAATCAAAATGTTTTTGTCCAATCCAAACGACTTTACCGAAATCTTTAGAGGAGCTCTTTTTAATCTGACAGAATCCAAGTTAACTAATGATGTTTTGGTTTCTTCATGAAATGTAAGAAGTCAATTTGAAGACATTTTAGCATGGATTAAATCCAGGAAAATTTCCTATTATCTGTGAAAATGACTTTTAAGTAAATTACATTGGTTTAAAAATAAAGTATTCAACTTGCCTCTTTTACAACACAATCTGGACAGGGTACAAGAAAATCATAAACAACACCATGAAAAGATTCTTCTATTAAACCTTCTATTATCTCATGTACAAGGAATATTATATTAGCTGGTTTCTGTCCACATACTTGTATTTCTAATTCACTTTCACTGTAATAAAAACAACATAACATAATTCACTTTCACTGTAATAAAAACATAACCTAATTTACTTTCACTGTAATAAAAACATAACATAGAGAGAGAGAGAGAGAGAGAGAGAGAGAGAGAGAGAGAGGAGCTTAGGGGTCTTGTGCAGTGGGTGGAAACCAGAGAAATCCATGGGGTTTAGCGTCCCTGAACACAAACTAGATCATTTTGGGATTACTATATTTTATTTCCATAATTCATTTAGTATTTAGTGGTGGGAAGAAACTGGAGGACCTGATGAAAACTCACAAGGTTGGACATCTAAGCTACTCCATGTCATGTACAAGCAACCACTCAACTAGGCTTGCAAATAATGACTAGAGAAGCTTAGCCGAAACATCGCTCAGTAATAAGCAGTAATTATATTCCATAGAATTGTGACCTGTATAAGTAGGTTCTGATGACCTGATGTTCGAGACCCATGATGACAATTAACTTTTGGTCTCCTGTGTAATGTGATGATTAATATTCTATACCTAGAATGGACCCGGTTTGAGGAGTTTATAGGGAAAAGTTGGTTGTTACCTAATTTGTCTGATGAGAGCAAGATGATTATTTTTATTTAACATAGAACCTCTCTTCCATATTGATTTCCCATTTGAAAACTGGAAAAGTCTAACCTACAAACAAATAATAAACAAATTTTAAAAAAATGAGAAAATATTGAAACACAAATTGTATTCTCTCAAACCCAAGGCAGTAGCAACACTGGCAGTAGCAACACTAGCAAACAGTGGTAGTAGCAACACTAGCAGTAGCAAACACTAGCAGTAGCAACACTAAACACTATCAGTAGCAAAACTGTCAGTAGCAAGACTAGCAACACTAGCAGTAGCAAACACTAGCAGTAGCAACAAAGGTAAACTTGAGGATATCAAGTGATAAAGTATGTGCCAGCTGTTATCATATCTGACTATTGGGATCAAAGGGTGGCAACCTCCCCAAATATATCAGCCCGTACCAATCATTTGGGGGAACAAAACAGCACTTTCACGTAAAAATAGTATATTTTCAGACAGTACTGTTTTGGCCAGTATTAAAAAATAATTTGTTTACAGTCCTTTTCATTTAGGGTCGTGTATGCTTATTTTTTGTGATGATTATTTTTTTTTTAAAGAAATAGATTCTGTTTTAATCAAATGTTTACATTGCAGCATTATCCATGTGTTATCTCTTTGTATTTTCAGCCTGTAACAGTAACTAATTGGTTGTCTATATGTCATTCATTCTTTGTTATTTTATCTATTTTGTATTTTCAGCCTGTAACAGTTACTAATTGGTTGTCTATATTTCATTCATTCTTTGTTATTTTATCTATTTTGTATTTTCAGCCTCTAACTAATTGTCTATCTATATTTCATTCATTCTTTGTTATTTTATCTATTTTGTATTTTCAGCCTCTAACTAATTGTCTATCTATATTTCATTCATTCTTTGTGATTTTATCTGTTATATTAGTTGATTGGTTCCCTTTTGAATTTGGCTTTGCAGATGCTCCACGTATTAAGGGTAATGAAAGGAAAAATATTAAATCTACCTGACATCTGTTAAAAAGACCAGCAGGTAAATAACTGAATCTATAAACCATCTTTGATTGTTCTTTACCTTTCTTCTTTAATTCATCATTAGATGGCCAGACAGTCTACAAATACAAACAACATTATTCAGCTATAAATTATCATTAGACGGCCAGACAGTCTACAACTATAAACAACATTAATCAACTATAAATTATCATTAGACGGCCAGACAGTCTACAACTATAAACAACATTATTCAGCTAAAATTATCATTAGACAGCCAGACAGTCTACAAATATAAACAACATTAATCAACTATAAATCATCATTAGACGGCCAGACAGTCTACAAATATAAACAACATTAATCAATTATAAATCATCATTAGACGGCCAGACAGTCTACAAATATAAACAACATTAATCAACCATAATTCATCATTAGACAGCCAGACAGTCTACAAATATAAACAACATTAATCAACTATAAATCATCATTAGACAGCCAGACAGTCTACAAATACAAACAACATTATTCAGCTATAAATTGTCATTAGACGGCCAGACAGTCTACAACTATAAACAACATTAATCAACTATAAATCATCATTAGACGGCCAGACAGTCTACAAATACAAACAACATTAATCAACTATAAATCATCATTAGACAGCCAGACAGTCTACAAATACAAACAACATTAATCAACTATAAATCATCATTAGATGGCCAGACAGTCTACAAATACAAAAAACATTAATCAACTATAAATCATCATTAGACGGCCAGATAGTCTACAAATATAAACAACATTAATCAACTATAAATTATCATTAGACGGCCAGACAGTCTACAAATACAAACAACATTAATCAACTATTAATCATCATTCAAGAGTTAAATAAACAACCAAACATCAACCTGGAGAGGACTTTAGATGTGATCTGTTTTTCTTATATATAATTATTCTATGGACATTCATTTCAACTCATTACTCCTGTATTGTATTATTGTTAGATTATAACAGGAAGACTATGTAAATTAATGTCATTATGTATTATATACTTTATAACCTATTGTTGTATGTTACCTATTATTATCTATAATTGTCATTGCCATGGAAATCTATTATACCACAAATGTATATATGTATGGCTACAAATATAATTTCTTATATACATTATTAATATGTGAAGATGCCTATAGGGGGCAGACAGCTAGCTTATATGATTTAATATATGTCAGAATGGAGTAAAGTGGTGAATATTTTACCTGGACGTATTTTTTTATTTATTCATAGATTCATCTACGGTAAACATAGAATTATTTGTACCTTATCTACTTTAATATACTTGGCTTTTTATCGTCGCGATATTGGATGACAGAATAATCTGGACACAAAACCTTTGTTCAGTTTTCAACTGAGAGTTGTATTACGTAACCGAGCTAATTTTTGGTCTATTGGAAGTCTTTTTCTGGCTTCAAATGTTACATAAATTATCATTTAGACATTTATCTACCTGACAAGTCAATACTCAACTATCTTGGTCACAAGATGGCTGCAATATTAATTGGATTGGAACACATGCGCCATTTAATCGGTTAATATTCATTTTGCATTATCTATTTATAAATTAGTCAAAGAACAGCCAGCTTTTTATCTAACTCTTACATAATACATCTTTAAGTTTACCAACATTAATCTGTGTTTATTAAAAGATGAAAAAGTTACCTCAATAGCTTGTTTAGGTTCTTCATGTGGAAGAAGACAAGGTACTATATTAATATCTTGATGTGGTAGAGGGAAGGTCAGATCAAATTGTTCTGTTAACTGTAATAACCATTGATGGAGACTTGTAGGATATTCATTCCATATTGTCTTCATGTCAGAATGATGAAATTCTCCTCTTTTAGTCTATAAATAAATAAATAAATAAATAAATTAAAATTGTAAATTAAAATTAAAATTGTAAATTAAAATTGTAAATTAAAATTAAAATTAAAATTAAAATTGTAAATTAAAATTGTAAATTGAAATTAAAATTGTAAATAAAATTTTTAAATTAAAATTGTAAAATTAAAATTGTAAATCACATCAAATCACATTCCCTCTGTAGAAGACTTTCACAATATCTGGTTAGTCACTGAGTTTGTTGGAGGAGCTGGAAATTATGAGATCAATTTTATACTCATTTCAACCAACCAGTGACAGCAGCATTTCCACCTACTCCATCAACTAATAACGATTCTTTTACATTTAAGACAAACAGGACCATGTTTTTATTTTTGTCCCATCCATACAACTAAATGCTGTTCCTAGCCAGTCCCTCGGTCCTGCAACACTGACAAAGGCAAACCACACCAACACCGGAAGAGAACCTGAGACCTCCTAATTAGCAAGCTAGCACCTTACTCACTGAGCCATTGTGGCTCCCCCCATGATTATAAATTATATATTATCTGTGATGTAACTAAGATTCTAGAAGATTAATTACCTGAATGGGAGAGTTTTTAACGGATACGACACAAGACATAACATTTACAATCCACTGGGGGTTGATCACCACTCTATCTCTTAATACATCATTATCAAAATACTGTACAGTTCCTAACTCATGTAAAAACTGAATGGCTTCCTTAATCTGAAAATAATAATGCCAGGATTGATATGATAAATATTATGAATAATGTGACAGATATTTAATGGGCTATATATATCTGGACACATTTTTTATACTCAATACAATAGGATTGTTACAGTGAACTAATGAATATTATGACACAAATTAATGGATATATATTCAATACACTCGCAATACAATCAACCCATTGGTTGATTAAATGAATCAGTGATTGTCATATTTCTATAATTTAGGTATTGATTTAACATATGCTCTCAAATCTACTTTTATGATGATTCAGAAATCTAAAAGAATCACCCAAAACAAAATAGAAACATTTAATATCTTATTCATCATCTAATAATATTTTATTCATCATCTAATCCCTTATTCTATTCATTATCTGATATTCTTTTTTATCATCTGATATTCTTTTTTATCATCTGATATTCTATGAAAATGAACAACCTGAAATACAAATCATTTTGATTTAAATCATAAGGAAGTGACATCATCATGGTAACTGTCAGTCCCTGTTCATATACAGCTGACATCTGAATCCGGGGGACCAGGACAAAACCCTTGAGGTTGGACAAGCAACCCTACTCCTTGTCATGTACAACCAGGGAATTGAAACCACACAAGTTGACTCAATGACATACAACACGCAAAATGGTAAGAGATGGATTTTTTCTCAGTATTGTATATGTTTGATTTAACCCTTTCATTGCGTCTACCCGGTAGTACCGGGTATAATAAAATGTCGTTACAATGCGCATACCCGGTATTACCGGGTACTCAGTATGCCATCTATTGTATTTTCTATGCACTAGAACATATTTCCACGTGTTTCAAAGCGGCAAACCGTAAAATGGCAGAGTGCATAGTGACAACGTAGATGATGCAATCTCGGCGAAGTCGTGAATGGCATCTTCGCTGACCAAGATAGTGTGGACAATTTCGAGGCGGGAACTGATACACATAATTCGTTTCCAGTTAGTTGATAATAATAGTAGCCAGGACAGTGATTGGTAGTATGAAGTGCGTGATGTGTTGCGCGATCTTCCGCCTATGGCTATGTCTCCCGTGCATGATGAACAAGCCCAGTGTGAACATAATAGCCCTATGTAGTATGTCTCTAGTAGATTCTGACGATAATTCTGATGTTGATTATAATGCAATTCCTGAGTCCCGAACGTGTAGATCTATTGACTGACTATAGTGATAATGATATGGGACTTGATGAAAGTGAAAGTAAAATCAAGGTATTGCAATCCGCACGTGGTCATGGCAGCGGGAGACGTGGTGTGCGTGTTAGTGGTGGCATTGCTCATGGCTACTATTGATATTTCTGTTCATTTTATATATCTTTATCAAAATCCAGAGAAAAAAACAATATCCCATAAGTATTTCATGGAGAAAAATTCGTTTTCGTGTTAGCTTTAGTGAGAAATGAAAAATCCAAAATGGCCGCCATGACGTCACGTGACTACATGATTATGCAAATTTCCAAAATTCTATTTTTTTCTCTTAGTCCAACATCATGCCCATCCAAACACCAAAAAGAATTTTCATAAAAGCTTCCATAAGTACTGTTTGGCATTTAGTTCTAAATCCACATTTTTCCTCAAAAAAGGGTCCAGTAGACGTGGTACAAGGGTTAATCAGCGAACTGGATGTATGAGATGTGTTGTTGACGTTTGGGAAAGTAGGACGAGGGGAAATGTGTAGGGAGTGAAGTGCTGTAAAGGGATAGTTAGATGTATTATGAATGGTTAGAGTGGCTGTGGTGTTACGGTGAAATACTATGCCGCCACCGTAACACCACAGCTTTATGATTTGTTAGACAGGAGTGATGTAATGGGTGTCAACAACTGGGTATGCTGGTACCGTCGCAACGTAGCCGTGAAATATATATTGTGGGGGGGAAGGGCGGAAACGGAAAAATATACAATGTTGACAGTATGTGCCAGGCATGAGGCTGCGCAGACAGAGCAGCAGCTCGATAGGGAGTGTGTGGGAGGGTCACCCTCATAAAAATTTTTTTTTTTAAATTTCAGTTTTCTGTAAGCAGTGAAAACACTATTTTGGCATTGTTTGCAGGGTTAAACCTAAAAATCACATTAATACACCTATTGCACGATATTGTGAAACTAGCTGACGAAGACAGCTCGGGCGGCGATTGTTTGACTCGGGGCTGCTCTGTCAGTATCTAACAAACACATTTAGTTCGCGTACAACTTTTAAAAACCGAATGTCAGTATGGTATTTCTCACATAATTGGTTATCGCAAAAACAGAGTAAACTGAAAGCGAGTAATCTCGACTCAAACCTATAGTCTACTTACTACACTCGTCACTAGGCTTCCTATATTATTGTTTGTGGACGGTTTACTACTCAGTGATAAGCCTGCGCCGCAAAAAGACGTCTCGCCTTTTATTATTAGTATAATGACTTCCTCATGTGCGGCAGGTTAGTTTGCTTCTAAAAACACTGTTTTCCGTTCCAAAAAATACAAAAGTAATTTTCTACCAGATGACCATGGTTCTTTTCACCGAGACTAGATAATTTCTCTCGGTGTAAGGATATAGCTATGGATTATTTCATACAAGGTCAATAAATCCACGGTCACTTCGGGTCACACTGTTCAGAAAATAAACCGATGGGTTTGTTTAGTAGCAAATCGAGCGTGAATCAACTGAGTTTGTACTGAAAAATTTTTGAGTGATATGTATGAACTGTCTTCACACATTCGGTTTATAATTAGCGATACACAGGTACAGTGGCAAGTGTTGTACTTCACAGACTGTTTACCTCTGAACTACCTCCGCACGAAATCCCCGATTTGGGTACTTGTTAAAAGAAAAAGAAATAGTACCTGTGCGCATGCCAGTAAAAAAAACTAAGAGTTCGCGCATAAAAATGCCCGAACGTACCAGGCGCCAGGTCATCTAGCACAGGCAGTGGATTTACGTCTAGCATTGAAAGGGTTAAACTTAAAGAGAAAACATACATCTTTTTCATCGTAGATTCCTTCCTCCATACCATATTGTCTTATTTTTGACCATTCCATTATACTTGTATCCTTTCTAGCTCTGAAAAATAACAGTCAAAATGATTTTCAAATCATACAAAAGATTTATAGAAATAAATTAGAATCTTGCAATAAATTTGGACATGAAAGTCACAAGAGATATCACCAACTAAGATTATCTTACTCTAAAAATTTCTTCTCCAAATTAAGCCAGACTTTTGGTATTTTTTCTCCCATATTTTTCTGTTCCAGAGTTACTCGTAACATGTCATCTTTTAGTTGTTTAATATTCTGAAATTTGTAAAAATAAAATGACTAACAAAATGTGCTAAAAAAGCACACAAATCGAAATAATCCAGCACTTCCCCAGGATATCAAATTGTCAATGCTTCATGTATAATATACATTTCCTCCTGTACACAACCTAATCATTCATGTTAATTTATATTTCATGTCTATTATTATAGCTTGTCAAATGCATTTTTCAGACAACATTTAATTTAACAATGTTTGAGATAATCTCTTGGTTTGGATTCAATCAAATTAAACAGATGCCCATTACACTAGTGGTGCTGGTTTGTATATATAAAGTTTGATGAATGCTGTCAAATTGTCAATTTATCATTTCTTTATAGATATTGAACAGAAATGAACCATTTTTTAACCTTTCACAATATCAGTCAGGTTTAACAGTTTTTAAATTTCAATTCTCTTGACAATGGCTTATTTTCGCTGAAGAACTAAACATTCAAATTAGAAACAATGAATACATTGATAATATTAAACTTACCGTCCCTGTTATAGAACTAACAAAATAGAAATCTATAATCTGTGGATAAAGTTTCCTCAGTTCATTCATAGCAATATCAGCTTTAGGCACCTAAATAATTATAAATAGGTCTTTAAGAAAAGATAAGTTAATAAGAACATTATACAATGATCTTATAAATGTAAGATAGCACAAAATGAGCTCAAAACTATAAAAAAAAATTTCTGCCTATAAAAGATGGATGTTTGACCTTGCAATAAACAATACAAGGATCACAACCTAAGGATGAATGATTGATCCTATAATTTAAAGGGAGCACAAATTGGTGTTCGACCCACAATTTGAACGGATCACAATCTAAGGATTGGTATTTGACCCTACAATTTAAAAAAGATCTAAGGATGGGTGTTTGACCCTACAATCAAAAGGGATCACAATTTCAGGATGGGTGTTTGCACCTACAATTTGAAGGATGGGTATTTGACCCTAGAATTTAAAAAGATCACCATCTAAGGATGGATGTTTGAAGGGATCACCATCTAAGGATGGGTTTCCGACCCTACAATCGAAAGGGATCACAATCTAAGGATGGGTATATCTAAGGATGGGTATATTTAGGATGGGTATTTGACACATCAAATTAAAGTATACAATGAGTGTGGGGGCCCTTCGAGACTAAATCTTATCATCCTGTGCAAATAATTTCCAAGGGATCACAATCAAAAAATGGATGTTTGACAGTTGAAAGTAAAAATGTTTCGTTAAGAAAGATGTTTTATCCTACCATCAGGTGTGTGAATGAGCTGTTTGATTCTACTTAACCTAATCACGATGAGATCAAACTATAAACTTGGTGTTTGATTCTACTTTACCTGATCACAAGGATGTTTGAATGGCAGAGGATGTTTGATTCTACTTTACCTGATCACAATGAGATCCAACTATAAATATTGGTGTTTTAGGAGCATGACAGGAGATGGAACTCAACCAGAAATCTAACCCAGCATGTTCAAATCCTTGACGTGTTGACCATACTAATACATATATCGCTCTTTTAGATAGGAAAAACTGGAAATAGAGAAATTATTGCTATAGTTTATCTTATCAATCCAATAAAAATGAAAAATGCACAAATGTATTCTTCATTAATTTAACATTTTCTGGAATGAACTAAAATGAAATGAGGTTTACATCCTACTTTTCTGCTCCATTTGGTCAAATGAATACCTACATATGCCAGATAATGTGCTATGAGTAAATATTTGACAGGACAGCTGTGCTAGGGTCTAATCTTATTTGGAATTCCAACTGTGCATGCCAACATGTACATAGATGACCTCCGTTTTTTGTCCTATCTGAAGGAATAGATGCTCATCCTTGCCGACCTTATCTCAGGTACACACTACGCCACTCAAGTCGACCACACAACCCTCTTGTATTCAATTTTGTATAGGAATTAACAATTACACAACTATTACATATAAATATTTACAAGAGAAATGTATACCTGATGCGTATTATAGTATAAAGTTTGCCCAGCAAAATCCCATGTACTGTATGTAACTTCAATATTGTCTTTAGTCTTGATTGTCCAGGGTTGTATATCTATACCATCAGTAATCTGTTCACCTTTAGTTCCTACTGTTTTATTATTAACACTCATTATAGCTTTTAATAAACTGTAACAAATTATATAACAGAATTAATTAACAGCTACCTGTAATTTAACCTATAAACCAAAATGTTTCTACAAGGAAATCTGAGAAATATCTAATTAAAAATAAGCACAACTGATGGTATACAGAGTTTCATAAAGATATCTAGAATAGACAACAAGTACCAATGATCTGCCCAAACATTTGGGTGGGACACTCAGGATACCCTACTGCCCTATTGAAGTGGAGTAACTATATCACCTTGTTTTACCGGCACCACCTAATCTAACTAACACCCAGCATGGTTCCCATCCTCCCTGGATGTTATGCCCCCACCCCCAACCCTCATGCACCACCCACTCTACTGAAGTGGAGTAAGTTTATCACCGTGTAGTACCACCTTATCCAACTATCACCCAGAGTTCTAATCCTCCCTGTACAGTAGGCCCCTGCCCTTTTCCATCATGCCCCTCCACTCATGCCCCACCCACCCAATCAAAGTGGAGTAACTCACCTTGTTTTACCGGCACCACCTAATCCAACCAACATCAGTTTTGTTCGTCTACATTCCGTAAAACCACCAGCCAAACGTTTTAAATACGCCTGAACAGATTCAAAACCTCTCTGTACAACTTCATTGGGTGGTGTACGCAACGATGGACATCGGAATAAATTGATGGCTAAAACAGAAAGAAATTTGCATTAAGAAATTAAACTAATTCTAGATAAAGGATTGAATGACCACTTGTGAACAAATTAACAGATTTTCAGAAGAGAATTTGAATATGAGTCTTGTACAATATGGACATACATTACATGTAATATAGAGTCTGACAAGCCAATAGTGATGCTGATGTCTCTAGCAACAATTCCAAAATAAATAGATGACACATTTTTGTTATTAACTGCTCATTTATCTTTTGAAAAATTTTGAGCAATCAAAAATGTGTATACTTAGCCTAAGCAGAAAATGCATATAATCAAACTTAGACAAGGTAATGAAACTATGCACTAAGTTCCACCACTCTTACTTGATCAGAATAAAAGTCATTGTGTACCCCAAAGCATTGACCAATCAAATGCTCATCATCAACCTCTGTCAAGACACCCACACCTTAATGAGAAGCAGAGATATTGTGTTCCTAAAAGAGTGACGAACAGAGGCATGGTGGGGGGGGGGGGGGTACTAAAAACACAAACTTTTATACTGTCACCATCTGTCATCAGAATGTAGAAGTACATTCACACCATGGCTATGATTTTTTTGCGTTTATTGCAATATGATGGTATCCTTCTACAAATATCCCATGAATCCTAAAAACACTTCCAAGGGAAACTTACATTTAATATTTGGTAGATGACCTAGAGCTCCTGGTAAACTTTCTAACAGGGGGTCACTAGCAAGGTCAAGGTTAGCGAGATTAGTCAGACGACACATATGCACTGGTACAGCCGTAATAGCCTGGTTCTTTAAAGACAAATGTTCTAGACTCATGAGTAGAAACACACAAGGTGGTATTCCTCCATATTCTTCATTATCTGAAAAGAAATGAATCAAAGTCTTGATTTAAAGATTCATTCCCACAATGTTAATTAGGTCATCTAGTGCAACCTGAAAAAATTATAATATCTATCACTTTCTGGCCGAAACAAGATTTTAATGTACATGATATTCCATATTCCATATTTATAGCTGTGCAATCTAGATTTAATTTCTTACACACTATTTGATTGCCAGTTAACCAATCAAAATTAGATATACCAGTACATAAATAACACTGGCTAAAACTTGATGAAAATCTGTCAGGAATATAAATCTGTAGAATGACATTTATAATCATGTATCAGTCAGAGGATATATTTCTGAAACTGATTTTACAAGAAGGCTCAGAATTCACTGGCACCCCTAATGGAAAGTAGTGAAGAATTGAATTGTAAAGTGTGTATATATATATACATGAGTATGGTAATATTGATTCTAATAACAATTCTTAAAGGGACAATAACACTCTTGCTGGCTTGAAAGCTCCAGAAAATAATTATTAGCCTTATTCTAAGTATTAGATGTTTAAGTGTCCTACCTGTTGTGTAAATTATCCATTACATCCTATTTTACTTGTCCAGAGGGTTCGAAAATATTTTTAAATCGAAGTTTCATTTGAAAAGGTTTACGTTAAACGTTTCAAACCATTACGTTGAATTTTTCAAAATTTTTAAATAGGGTGTGTTAAGATGAAATTTGTATCATCAATTAATTGAAATATTCTAAAATAGTACAATTTGTTGACCAGAATAAAGATTGGGACATATTATTCAGTTACAACAAGAGTGGTATTGAGCCTTTAAAACATAATTAAAATCTGTTAAAAACTTTACTCTGTAGAATAAGTAGAAGTATGTTCAGATATTTATTCTTTAATCATGGCTATTAATTATCTAATTCAACTTATTTAAATACCCCAAAAACCATCACACTGCTTTTGTGTCTTTGTATTTAGTTGTCACATAATATTTGTATAACCGTATCATGTATATATTGTTTGTATAACTGTAAAATATTGTTTGTATGTAACTGTAACTGTATATATTGTTTGTGTATAACCGTATCATGTATATATTGTTTGATGTAACTGTATCATGTATATACTGTTTGTGTGTAACTGTATCATGCATATGTTATCTGATGAATTGAATAAAGAATTGAATTGAACATATGAAAGTTCAACAAGGCGACTTGAGAAACGAATGTTTGGATTTAAACCCTACAACATTCAGTTTGTTAGAACATTATTCTAACTACACATTTTGGTGATAATCAATATGCTCGGAATAGAGAAGTAAATGGTGTCATTATAATTGTAAAACCTGTCCTCAGATTATTATATACTTACTGATATTATTGGAACCAAGTCTTGGTACTTGCCAGAATAAATAATTATTCAGATTAGCCACTTCATTCACATCTAAAGTTCCCGAATTATTGATATCAAACTTCTCGAATAAAGTTTGTACAACCTATAATAATTACAAGATAAACTTTTATAAACACTTTCTGTTTTGAGTTTAGAAGCGTGGTATTGTGAAATAGGAATTTACGGAGATAATTAGGACCCAAAGATTATTGTGTGATTTTTACAGCACAAAATATAAGAGTCAGTTTCAGATTTTCTAATCTTGATCGAAGTTTACCATTTGTGGGTTGATATTTCTTTAAAGATGCATTATGTAAGATTTAGATAAAGAGCTGGTCGTTCTTGTTAGAACAGTTCAAAAATATAGATAATGCAAAATAAATATATTGAAAATTTCATTCAAATTACTTTATTCTGAGCATAGTTATTACTGTTTTTAGTTTTGAAAAGATGTGTGCATTGATTGTTTATTATCATAACCATGGTACTGGTTATTCGAGACTTAGCCTCGTTTCTCCATTTTTAAATTAAACCATTAAATGGCTGAACCATTCTAATCTACTTTAAATCAGAGTCATCTGATGAACTAGAGAATTGAATATGGTCTTGTCATGTTAATAATTTATGTAACATTTAAGGACTAAATAAAGAACTGCAATAGGCAGATTTATCTCTTGATCTTAACGCATCTTTAAAGATTCAATTTTACAATGTTGTAGTTTTCAAAGAATACAAAATTCCTTAAATGATGATCAGTGACATTTCTACAAGGTAATCAAAATAAAATACCTGGGTTACATACCTCCTCTCCCAGGTATTCAATATAAAATACTTGGGTCATATACCTCCTCTCCTGGGTAATCAATATAAAATACCTGGGTTACATACCTCCTCTCCTGGGTAATCAATATAAAATACCTGGGGTACATACCTCCTCTATCAGGTATTCAATATAAAATACTTGGGTTATATACCTCCTCTCCTAGGTAATCAATATAAAATACTTGGGTTACATACCTCCTCTCCTAAGTAATCAATATAAAATACCTGGGGTACATACCTCCTCTCCTAGGTAAGTAATCAAAATAAAATATTTGTGCTACATACCTCCTCTCCTAGGTAATCAACATAAAAAGAAGCCTTGGTATGAAACCATTTCATCAAATCATCAGCACTAAAACCACTTTCATATTCTAATAACGACATTCCTACAACACAAACAAAAAAAATGTTTAAAATTGTTAAGAAAATAAAATGGGAATTAGCTTCTTATTTTTCTGCACCAACTCTCTCATTTCAGCCATGGAAATATACAGGAGCCACGGTGGCTAAGTGCATAGGACGCTGCTTCATTAGCCTTTAGGTCCCCGGTTCGATCCCTGTGTTGGCCAAAAACGTTCATCAGGACTCTCCAGCGTGGCTTGCCCTTGTTAGTGGTGCAGGACGGAGGGCCTGGCAAGGACAGTTGTCTAGTCATTTGGATGGGACAAAAAACTGAGGTCCTCTGTACACATTGGCATCAACGTAGGGAGGGAACGGGGGAGAGGGAGAGGGAGAGAGAGAAAGAGAAAGAGAAAGAGAGAGTTTAACCTTCGCTCAACACAAACTAGGTCATTTCGGCACATACATATGGTTAAATTTCATTTCAATAAATCACTTGTACGTAGGGTCAGTAGCAAGAAATTGGAGGACTCTTAACCCATGAGGTTGGCAGGTGACCCTACTCCTTGTGATGTACAAGCTGGGAATCAAAAACACACCACTTGCCTCAAAGACACTCTCTGGAGACCATTAAAGTGCTGTCAAATTATATGAAATCGTCCAGCGAATCCAATATTTCATCTAGTGTAAATAATGTACGATTGGCCCGTTGCCCGTACCATCATTTGAAATATAATACACCAACAATCAAAGGATCTGAATTTTAAATATTGTTAAAGTGAAGTCTAATTCTTACCATCAATATCTAGATCTGTGAGGTTTCGCAACTTGCCTAGTGACATGGGTAAATCTGTTATTGGGTTATAGTTTAATATCAGTGTATTCAACTGTGATAGGTTGCCTATTTCATCTGGTATACTGGTTAGACCCATAGATCGCAATATCAAAACTGTCAATTTGCTCGTTTCAAGAAACTTTGATGGAATAATTTTAACTGGTACTTGTGATATTTCCAGGTATTCGAGAGAAGGGGACATGAATATATCCGATGGCAATGACTTTATTTTCGGTAAATTTACCAACGTAAGTGTCTTTAATTGTAAACTTTTGGATAGACCATCGGGAATTACTTCTAAAAGTTTACATTTGCTTAAATGTAGAATTTGTAGGTTGGACAATTTGTTGAAAAACTCATCTGAAATTTTCTTTATAATCATTCCCCGCCTGGCGAATATATTAACCACCTTTGAATATGGATTGTAATGTTTAAAATCCATCGTGGCCTCGTTCACTTTATCTTGAAAAGATCCTTGTTGTGACAAGAGATGAGCGTTACACACATAATAATCATTGGGTAATTTGATCAAAGCGTGATCAGATGGTTTCTTCATGGTCTCCACATCAACGATATGTTTGATTTGACTAATATTAGCCTCTAGATTATCTTGCTGTTGGCTGATGAAAAGGTTCGACATTTTTAGTTCTCCGTAAAATTCTGTGTAGATATGACATAAAGAGGTGTACATTTTTAACAAGTTGTATAGTAATGTCTGGATCTGAAGAATAGAAAATAATAAGACTAGAACAAACCAGACACATATTGTATTCCTAACATGATTAATGTTATTATTAATACTTATTGTTGTAAAAGATAATGTGCTGTGTATAAATAACGACAAATTCATTCTGCAATTTGCCGTCCTCCCCCCTTTAATCAAGTTATATGACAAAAATGGCTTCTAAAAATAGATTTTTTATATCTTGGGGTATTTCCTCACAAATATAATGTTATGGGAGGGATATGAAGCAAATTTTAGATAGTTTAATTAATTTGAATATGTTTTTAGTCCAAATATATCATCAAATCACCCAATTTGTACGCGGAAGGCACCTTTAAATATCTTTGACCACTGAGAACATGAAAATATGATGGATATGAAAGCTACTAAACAATCTCTCAGACCAGAGATCAGACATTAAACATTCTGTATACCTTTTCTTCTGTTAAATCAGATTTTCCACCCGTGAAAATTTGTTCATATGTACTTAACCACACCTAAAAAAAAATTTATAATACAAAAAAAACAATGACAATTTAAGACATAAAAAAGAGTTATATATAATACAAAAAAAAAAAACAATGTCAATCTAAGGTAACTTTCTGTGGAAGTGGTCAAATATAAAATGAATCAAAAATTTACCTAAACTGAAAATAAAACATGTACACCCACTGAAAATCAGCTTTTCTAAGTCACAACATATTCAAATAAGAATATGGAATATTTAAATAACCTTACTTTATCAGATCTTATTGAAAGTAAAGATAAATAACCTATATAAGGCCATACAAAGAATATATATTCTGATGCAGGTAGGGAGAGGTTTTTATTTTTGTGTTTTTATTTTAATCTGAGAACCAGAATATTATTTTAAATGGCCTAATTTTTAGGTTTTTATTTTGCTTACTCGTCTAGCTGTAAGTTGTGTGTAAGCTATTCCAACAGCTACATTTCCATACAGTTCATCTGCAGACAGTTTCTTTTGTAAATTACTTGGTGGCATGTCAACTAAATGAGGGTTAAATAATCCTTTAAATTCTTCCATTTCTGGTTTTCCTTAAATACAAAAACACAGTAAATATAGTTTGTGTATAAATGAGGGGAAGATTTGTAGCAATTGTCTGGTTGTTATGAGCATTTGAGGTAATGGACTCCTTGATCAGATACAGGAAGGACTCTTTTCTATAAAATTCTAAATACCTATGAAAAGCCTATAGATTCTTATTTCTTTTAGATATAACAGCCAACGGAGCTGTTATTTATTTCAATTCATGGGATCTGGGTCTAATTGAATCCAACTTCGAGAAAAAAGATATAGATGTTTATACCTTAATCAAATCATCTTAAAACATATTGATAGGGGGGGGTGTGGGAGGGGTAATCAATCAATTTTTCAATTTTGACCCATTTCTGAAACACCTTAAGAAGAAATAGAGTTTCTCTACAGACCTGGATTACACAGACGCCTTTAAGAAATGGAGTTTCTCTACAAACCTGGATTACACAGAAGATGTAGTTGAATATCAGTAAACATTTTGACAGCAGACGGTGTTGATAGGTTGTTGGTATTTAAACCAGATGGTAAATAAATGGCCAGTGTTTTAAGAGAAGGTAAAATATTTTGATTAAAAGTATCATCGTCTACCACAGCTTCTACTTGCTGTAGTCCTTGAACTGAAATATAACAAAATTAAATATGTCATATGTCTGTCTGAAGATACACCTTCTACTAACTCTAATTAATAACATACCACAGCTAAAGGCACGTTTATTACGTCCCCCTTTTTCGCGTAAAATTTGGACTCATTCACAAACATTAAATATTTTAGGGAAAAAGGTAGAATAAAGCAGAAGCGGCTCTGTGAGTCAGGGGCTGTGTCATAACCACGAAAAAATAGCTTTGATCTTAGTGCTGGCCAAGAAAGTTCCTTGTTGTTTTAAGCATGGTTTCTCCTAATGTCTGGTAAAGTATAGTGACAGACATGTAGTTGGTATTTGATGAAGTGGGGGTATATACCTACATAAGGTAAAACAACAAACAGTAATGGTTATTACCTGTTAATCTTGTTGGTATGTTTTTACAAGTAGCTTTAGTTATTAATAGATTTTCCTTCCATCGACTGTCAAAACCCAGCTCCATTACTCTTTGACTGTCCTACAAGACAACAATACAGACAGAAAATTTATTGAATGTTTTATTTTAATTCAGTAGATTTAATCATCTAAAATTCAGGTCAGATACTATATTATCATTTGAGGATTTGACAAGCAGGTAATAAATTTTGGATGTAATTATATATATATCTGTGAATGGCTATAATACTGGTGTAATTTGTTTTTCTTTTCTAATATCCTACTGTTCTCTGCACCAACTGGGTTAATGAAGACAGGCATATACCATATAGTGTGCAATGAGGGGAATTTTTACCGTAGTACAGAGGCACTATGGCCTACTCTAATATCAAATTTCAAATGCCAAGAGATCTTTTGCGTGCAAGCCAGTGTGTACATGGGACCTCAGTTTTTCTTCCCATACCTTGTCCATTGTCAGGCACTCTGTCCGGCACCTCTGACAAGGGGGAACCATGCCAGAAAATTAGTAAATGACACTATCAAAGATTGATGTGTGTACAAAAATTCCATGAAGATTTATTGAATGGATACAAAAACTGTGACAGAAGAACGAAAGGAACACATTCAAATATCCCCAACTTAACATTTGTCTAGTGTTGGATAAAAATTTCAGAAATACTTTAGTATAATCAGAACTAAAAGTCTACCTTTGTGACCAGATAAAATGGTGCAGGAACGTATCCTCTCTTCTTCAACATAGGCTTACCTGTAAATGGACATAAATAAAAAGTACTTCAAAACAGGCTCGTAACATCTTCAATAGTTTTCAACTTGGTAAAACTCCCAGAGAGAGAGAGAGAGAGAGAGAGAGAGAGAGAGAGAGAGAGAGAGATTAACATCCACACGACATAAAAAAAGGTCATTTCTTATTTATTTACTAAATGCTATTGAAATAATTTGGTCAAACTCAATTTCTAAATTTTTTAATATTAAATAAGGAATTATCATAGAATATGCAATGCTGCTATATACTAACTTACAGCTGTTTGACATTCCTGATGAAAAATACATATCCAAATTTATGATTTCGAGTTAAAAACAGATTCAAAGTTGTCCTATTTGCCAATTTTCATTTTTGACTTAATTATTATATTTCAGAATTTGATTTTTCTAGAATCAGAAATTCTGTTGTAAAGGTCAATACCCCCCCCCCCCCCCCACACACACACTATGACTATACCCTTTACCTAGAGTAATATCATTTCCTTTAACATCTGATATCAGTTGTTCTAGCATGACTTTTTTAGAGGGTGCAACATTATCTACTTGATCCTGTCCTTCTATTGGTTCTCCTCCACTTTGTATCATCTCAGTTTTAACATTAGCTAGTTGTATTATCTTAGATTTAACATCCACTTGTAGACATTGTGATTCAGTACCATCAGCAGATACATTATTATATTCTATCATCAGAGTTTTACCACCATTTATAACATCATTAATAACACATTCTGTATATACTTCACTACAATATAAACATTAATAACACATTTTGTATATACTTTACTATAATATAAACATTTATAACACATTCTATATATACTTCACTACAATATAAACATTAATAACACGTTCTGTATATACTTCACTATAATATGAACATTAATAACACATTCTGTATATACTTTACTATAATATAAACATTTATAACACATTCTGTATATACTTCATTCAATATAAACATAAATAAAACATTCTGTATATACTTTACTAAACATTTATAACACATTCTGTATATACTTCACTACAATATAAACATTTATAACATCATTAATAACACATTTTCTATATACTTCACCACAATATAAACATTAATAACACATTCTGTAAAGACTTTACTATAATATAAACATTTATAACACATTCTGTATATACTTTACTATAATATTGACACTTTCTGTCAGGTTTTGTTGGATATTCATTGTTTAGAAGCAGAAAGGATAACATGGTTAAAAGTCTGGTTATGGTGATTTGAATGTCAGATAGTTACATTTTTACTAGTTTTTTTTCCAAGTTTTGTGTATCTAAAAATTTAAATGGTTAAACTCCTATAAGTTTTGGAGCATGACGTGGCCAGCCCAATGAAAATTTGACAAAATAGACAAGAAAGTCAAAGTCAATGTGGAAATTAATTGTGGTCTGGCTCCTATACAAACATTTATAACATATTTTGTATAAACTTTAATTCAATGCTCACCCATTTTGTTGTAAATCAGCTATTACAGTCATTCCTCTTTGAAAACAATTTGGATAGTCAAATGTCTATAACATAAAATGAAACAATTTGGATAGTTAAAATAAATGTCTAAAACATCAAATAAAGAAATTTGGATAGTTAAACGTCTTAAAATCTGCTAAATGTATAGTGCAATATTCAAGTTTTTGTTATGCTATTACTCCTACAGTCTGAAATAAGACAACACCATAAAGCACTTTATTATAGCTATAGAATCATAGCTAATGTTAGAAAGAACTGTATTATAGCTATAGAGTCATAGCTAAGTTTTAACCCAGCTGTTGGACTCTAAGTTTTGTTACTTACCGGGAACTTAGGGTTTCGTACAATACATGTTGTTTGATCCCTTCTGTCCTTCAAAACAGGTATATACACCTGATATTTGCCCCTTTTTAACCAAAAGCTATTTTGGTGTATACCATTCACTTTCACATCCATACTGTAACCTATCTGTATAAATAAAACAATTCACTTGCTTTCTTGAAAGGCATTTGTAATAAAACAAGGTACAATTTATCGACACAATGGACCCGATCATAGTAATAAATCCAGTATTGTATATTCTTAAAATTGAACCTTTGTTTTAATTCACCTGGTGTTTAAATTAACCTCAGAAAAAACCTTGGTGTGAGATATAAAACAAGCAGTTGCCATGCAAAATAAAACCACATTTTGCAAGAGATGGACAGAGAGCAAGCTTAAAAAGTTTTTATAGTCGACATGCAGAGAGATCTTTAAGACATAAACATATATTTTAAGTTTCATCAAAATCAGATAAAAATTGTCACCTCTAGAGGAACCACAACCTTAGTATTACATGCTTTTTATACTATTAGCTTAAATAGGAGCAGCCAATTTGTCAGAAATGAAATGGGGTCCTACAGTTCTGCTCTGACTGGGCTAAAGAAGATGTGCTAAGAGGGAAATTTTGCCCTGACAGCGGCACTACAGCTTATATCAAATTCCAACTGCCAAAGGCTTTTTTACATGCACACCAATGTGTTTACATGACTTTGTTTTTTTGTCCCATCCAAACGACTATATGTTGTCCCTTTGCAAGGCCCTCCATCCTGCACCACTAACAAGGGGGAACCATGCTAGAAAATAATGATGTAACTTACCGATGGTTTACATGGTGTTGATGTTTTTAGCAGACGACTCATTCCAGCTGGTGTTACAGACGTAGTTGACATATTATTTACACTCAATCTATACAAAATACAACACATATTTTATTCAATATCATACACAGCAAAGCATGAAGCACATACTGTCTGCTTCCAAATGCTTTTCTAGATAAAAATGTTATTCTTCTCATAAAGAAATTGTTGATAGTCTTCAAATTCAATCAGCACAAAAACTCCATGTCTACAAGTGAACATGTGAAATGGGGTCAGAAAGCAGGTCATTTTGAGACTTAACTTTTTATTTAAATAGTCTGTTTGGATGTTGGAGTCTTTAACAGCAGAAGGAAACTACACCACTTGACCCAATGACAGACCTTAAGATCTAATGTGAGACAATCTGGTTTACAAACACGAGACATTATTTATAGTGTAATAGCTCTCTTCAATAAGTTCTTACCTGTGGAAAAATCGGCTTTCACCTGTTCTTTTTGAATATTCATCTTTAATAGCTTCTTCAGTGTACGTCCTTCCAGTATCTACCGTAAACCATTCAATCTCAACATCCATCCCTTTAATTATATAAAGATATATATTTACTAGGGACAAGGGTTACAGGTGTTATATTGATATCAGATACTTTTAGTAATACTATCAGCTGATATATATTGGATTGGATTGTGGTGGGGGTGGGGGGGAAGTGATGATTGTTGTTTGACAACAATTCTTGTGGATGTGTTAGATACCCCACCGTTTAAATCCCACCATTCTGCAATCTGTTGGAAGCATTGATTAACGAAATTATTCAAATAACTTTATTTGCCATATCTGCAATTATGAAGTCGTAATTTCAATTCGTAAAAAAGAAGCACAAAAAGAAATTAAAAGCATAATCAATTCAGCTATATTATGTCAAATTCTGTTGCGGTCAGGAATACCGACTATTGGATATCGGAAAAACATTGGCAAAATGGCCAATTACTGTCAAATAACAATCTGTGCTGATAAATTTTTTTTATGACAAATGACACCAGCGGCTGCCAAGCAGGATACGCCCACATTTTCGAGAGATGGATAGAAAACAAGCTAAAACGAAAGTGATTTTTCCTACAATCAAGGGCCATAATTCAGGAAATTACAATTCGATATGCAGAAATATCGAAAGGAACCAAGATCTTTGGGTTATAAACTTACATTTCAAGTTTTAACAAAATCGGATAGAAATTGTGACCTACGCTATTTGAGAACAAAGGGCGGCCATTTTTGTCTGTCAGTTTTGGGCCGATTTTCTCGAAATTCGAACTCAGTCGTCCTTAGGGTGTAACGGTGATATAATAATATGTTTTTTTAAAGCGGATAAAAATTATGACCTCTATAGGGTCCACAAGCTAAAAACGCAATTTTCCGTATAATCAGGGGCCATAATTCAGGAAGTTATGTTCCGATATGCGCAAATATCGAAAAGAACCGAGATGTTTGGGTTATAAACTTACATTTCAAGTTTCATCAAAATAGGATTAAAATTGTAACCTCTATAGGGTCCACAACCTTGATATACCATATTTTTACGCTATAAACCTATATTTCAAGTTTCATTGAAATCGGATAAAAATTGTGACCTGTAGACTGTTCACAAACAATTATGGACGGACGGACGGACGGAGGGACAGGGGCGACGACAATATACGTCCACATGAAAATGTGGGCGTATAAAAATGGGGTAATTGAAGACAAAGAGTCCATAAATATCAAGCATGAATGACAACACCTACCTCCTACAATGACTGATTGTGTAAAATTTTCTCGTGGTCCTAATGTACCATACTGTTTTTTGTCTAGATGAATCTAATAAATATATAAATATCATTCAGAACAGACAAAGAAACCATTCAGAACAGACAAAGAAACCTAGGTCTCATGAAACCCATTTGTAGCATGTCAAAGAACCCTGACAGTTGAAAAAATGGAAATAATAAAAGACGGTCATAATGCCGCTGTCCGGACAAATTTTCAGTTGTAGCCCGGAGCAAAACCTCATCTTTTGACGCAATGACAGACCTTATGACCTTAAGTGCACATATAAAACTACTGGGCCTTGTAGCCCCCGTCATGGGTTGGCTGAAACGACTCATGGCTTGGGTAGTTATGGAAATGAAATGAAATGAGGTTTAACGTCCTACTGTTCTGCTCCTATGCTGGGCTAATGAAGACGGGCATATGCCATACAGTGTGCTATGAGGGAAATTTTGCCCGGGCAGCGGCACTAACGCCTACTCTTATATCAAAATCCAACTGCCAAAGGATCTTTTACGTGCATTCCAATGTATACACGGGACCTCGGTTTTTCGTCTCATTCGAAGGACTAGACAGCTGTCCTTGTCAGGCCCTCCGTCCTGCATCACTGACAAGGGGGAACCACGGCGGAAAATCTGGATGAACTTTCTCGGCCAATGCAGGGATCAAACACCCGACCTCCAGGCTAGCAAGCCAGCGTCTTACCCACTTAGCCATGTGATCCCCGGTGAGTTATGGTGATACAGGTTTAAGTCTTGTACATGTTTTGTCTGTAGCTCATTATTAGACTTTGCATATTCCGACTCTTTTTGCCAGCAAGGGTCACATATTGCAGTGGGGTAGTCATTATGTTAAGATATTGAAATACAAGAAAAACCAACCAGTGGGGATTCACTGAAGTGGGGTGGTTATTATGGTAAGATATTAGAGTATGAGAAAAGGTTTTTATACTTACTATATAAGCTATTGTTCCTCTACTGGGATTAAACAATAATAACCAGCCACTTAAAGATGATTTACTACGTGAAGATATCACATTCAAAACAGCTCCAGGGCTATAATACATACAGAAAATCTAGTCACATGACTAATAAAGCTACTGGTATTCTTGAGATTACATTAATATGTTTTGAGGGGGATTTGAAGCACAATTTTGACAGAAATTATAGTATAAATATGTTTATAGTCTAAATATACCATCAAATCACACTGTTTGTATGCAGGAAAGCATCTTTAAGGTTAAATTGCTTGAAATTCTAATTGTATTGCATGTAAAACCAGTCAATTTTACTGTCAGTCAAAACTGACAAACAGGGTTGAAATGAAAGCCCTGGTTAGACCACCAACAATATTCCTAACAATACCTAATTTTAGGGTTGCCTCCATGTCACCAATAATTTTCTTTCGCACTATTTGTATTTCAAACAATGTGGTAGGTGATTATGCTTCTGAATTCCAAGTCAATTAATACTCCCAGATTTTATATTCTAGAACATTTCTAAATTGGATATCATCTTACCTGATCCACAAGTTGCCATACTTGTATGTATCAAAAGATAACGGCACTGGTAGACTCTGTAAACAGTTCAGAAAAAAATAAAATAAAATCAAATATGAGTAATAAGTATGTAAAACAGCTACTAATGTATTTGGTACCAGTAATATGGAAAACAGCTGCTTTGGGGAGACGTTTCAAGGAGTAATCTCACAACTTATTACCTTGATAACATTGAAAGAATACTCTTCTAAACATTGTCCAAAAATATTAGCATTCTGTGTTATAGTTTATTGTTCTATCCATGAGTAACTAAATACCATTAAAAGATTAATATATTGAATACTGTCTCAAAAAGATACATGTCAAATTACCAAAATTATGTTTACAATCTTTGAAGCTTAAAGTAGCTAAGTCTTTAACTCAATATCATCCACATTCTTCGACATTAAAAACACAAATTATTTGTCAATTTAAATCAACATTGATGTTGTGACCTTACCGGAAAAGATGGGCTTCTGATATCCAATCTTTAAGACACAATAAACATTTAACCATTGATACACCAATCGCGTACCAGAATGCGTTTCAGCACCATTTGTAACAAGGGACTCAAAGAACGAGGCTAGACATATTCTTATCTGGAGAGCATACTACCGGTGTAGATATAGGATATTAACCTATCCAAGGTTGATATGATAGAGAACATGCAGGTAGAGCCCAAGTGTTCTCTATCATATCAATCAGAGAGGGAGAAGGTTTATATCCGACATATACATCGTCATAGTTTTAATTGTCCTTAAACTAAATGGACTCGTGATCTTGGCTGGAGTATACGTATTCTTCATATCATAACGTCAAAAAAAATATAAATAGTTGATTTCTTTGACATTATCATATTCCTGGCAGTAAATCATAAAAAAATCTGATTCCATTTCACTCTCCATATCATAAAATTATCAGCTGTAAATGACATGAAAATATTGGAATAATGCCAAAATCATTGACATGGTGTGAATTTTCACCTTTGACCTATTACGTAAATACCGGAAGATCCTTTGTTGAAACGAATGTTGTTTATTCGATAACTAGCGAATATAACATTACTTTTCTTTCATTGGGTGTTTTATTTTTTATTACTCAATCACCATTAATTTAAGAAAAAAAAGCAATAGAAATCAGTTGATTGATCTAGTAGTGCTTTTGTTCGCTAATGCTGTTGCCAATTATGATGGGTCCACGAGATGATTCGCTACCGTCAAACTTACCCCGATTTGATCAGCAGGTAGTTCCCAAGGCTCCTTTTCTAGTAGTTGAACAGATTCTTCACGAGAATGAAACCCAACAGCCGGGTAAAAACCACCAGGAGGTATTCGACAAGTTTTACTTGTGTAAACCTGTAATATTTATTTTTTCTTAAACAATATTTTATTTAGAAATTGAAGGGATTGAGGAACAGGCATAGTCTATATGACCTCTCTCTTAAATACAAGAATAAATATGGATATATATATATATGAAAATAGGTGAATAAACAACAAAACAATACAATGGATACATTATCAACATGTAATATAACGGTAATAGTACATGTCACGATTCAAGTTCTATTGAACACATACTGATACAGTCAGTTCTATTGAACACATATTGATACTGTCAGTTCAAGTTCTATTGAACACATATTGATACTGTCAGTTCTATTGAACACATATTGATACTGTCAGTTCAAGTTCTATTGAACACATATTGATACTGTCGGTTCTATTGAACACATATTGATACTGTCAGTTCAAGTTCTATTGAATACATATTGATACAGTCAGTTCAAGTGAATATATATTGATACTGTCAGTTCAAGTTCTATTGAATACATATTGATACAGTCAGTTCAAGTGAATATATATTGATACTGTCAGTTCAAGTTCTAGTGAATACATATTGATACAGTCAGTTCAAGTGAATATATATTGATACTGTCAGTTCAAGTTCTATTGAATACATATTGATACTGTCAGTAACAGTTACCATAAAATGTGGGTGTGAAAAAACAGAATCCTTTATTCAGTTGTACTAGTTGGTCAAATACAGAGAGAGAAATGGGGTTTAATGTCCACACAACACAAACTAGGTCATTTTAAGAGTAACATATGGTACAGTTTTATTTCAACAATTTGCTAGTGTGTAGGGGTCTTTAGGAGTGGAAGGAAACAGGAGGACCCAGAGAAAACCCTCAAGGTCTTGTTGTCTGACCCAGCACCTAATGATTGGGATCAAACCACGCCACTTGACTCAATGAGAGACATTATAATCTAAATCACAGGCATTATACCACTCAACCACCCAACCCACTACTCATTACATAACATTAGTGGACAATCATACTATAATTGCAATCAGGCCACAAGTTTACAAAGCAATCTCAAACTTAGGTTAAGAATTTACTCAACTTTCAATCACTGTTCATAAGAAATATCTTTGATCCAGAAACACAAAACTTTGCACTTAGGTTCTTATTGATGTATTTGATACATTAAAACAACAAAAGTTTTATAAAGGGCTATATTTTCGTTATAATAAGACGAACAATTTTGAGTAAATTCTTAACTTAAGTCTGAGAATGCTTTGTGAACTCGGGGCCAGATTAAAAAGATGTCTCATCATAAAAGTTTAGGTGGTGTGAGTATGTTTATAGCCTCTGCATGCAAATTTTTCAATCATCATATATTTGTCAATTCTGAACAAAACTGAACCATTTTTGGCGTGATATTCCTTTTAGAGATTCAACTTTCACAATATTGTGGTTTGCATGAGACAATCAGTGGCTTTTATGTGTAAGAATGCAAAAGATTTTTAGAAAACCAACAATTATCTAACTTCAAAATATTCTGTGTTGATATTGATCAGAAACTTACCAATTCATCATTCAAATAGAATTTATATTGTGTAATATCAAAATCAAATTCACAAGCAACAATATCACCTTTGTGGTATTTTTTTAAACGAGTATTAGCTGAACCACTTCCTATAAATACACTGAAATAAAGAAAATGAAAATGAAATGAAATGGGGTTTAACGTCCTACAGTTCTGCATCGAAAACAAAAATGACAGACAGATAGAGAGAAAAATGATGTCTAACATCTATTCAACACACACTAGGTTATTTTGGGACTAAAATGGAAAATTTTATTTCAACAATTTCCCTGTGTGTTGGAGTCTTTAGCAGTGGGTGGGAAATGAATAAAACATACAAGCTTGGGATCAAAATCATGACACTTGACAAAATGACAGACCTTATGATATAAAGGGCATGCATTAGAAACCCCCACCCCCCATTCCCCCCTCATGTATAGAAACAAAACTTATCTATATTTATGTACCAAATGATGTGATTAGACATTGCTTACCCTCCATCATCGGCATGGTAACCACAGGAATTGGACTCCCAGCCAGGTTGACGATTAGCTCGATATCTCTGATGTACTAAACCAATGGCTATATATCGACTAACACCTTCATTTATAACCTCTGAAAACACAAAACTTATTTAGGAAATTTCAGTGAATGATCTAAAATACTATTATACAAGACAACAATGGCTACAATTCAGATGACATGGTGGCTCAGCGTGTGAGATGTCGGCTGGTTAACCTGGAGTTTCTGTGTTCAAACCCTGCGTTGGCCTGGAAAGTTCATCTAGATTTTCCAGCATGGGTCTACCATGTCAGTGGTGCAGGACAGAGGGCTATGTATAGTCGTTCAGATAGGATGACACAGTGGTCAGGTGTGTACACAGTGGCGTGCACATAAAAGATCCCTTGACAAGTGGAATTTGTAATATAGGCCCTAGTGCCGCTGTCCTAGCAAAATTTCCCTCATAGCACACTGTATAGTGTATGCACATCATCGTTAGCCTATTAGGAGCAGAGCAGTAGGACGTAGAGGTCTTTACCTGTGGGGAGAAACCAGAGGGCCTGGACAGGTGATCCTTCTTCTTCACACATACAACCAGGTAATCGAAACCATGCCACTTGACTCAATGGCAGAACTATTCAAGAGAATATACCAGCTCGACGACATACTACAGACTGAATTATTAGTCATGAATATTCTAAAACTGGGCTTACTAAATGAAAATCTGTTACAGTCAGGAGTCAAAGCTTTTGGTCCCACAAACTGACCAACTGGAACAGAATTGGACTTAGTTTCATAACTGAAATGATATATAAAAAAATTCTTCATGAAATAAAGTGCATTTGTTAATTCTTGAATTCTCATGTATCACTCAAAAGTAAGACAGTTTTTTTACCTATAATTTTAAATACATTCTCCTGAATTTCTCAAAACATCATCATATAAATATGTGCTCATGCTACTAGCACTCAAAATTAATGATGGCTAACAGCAGAACCTGATAAAAGTTGAAGCACAAACTGTCTGCTACCAAATGCTTTTCTAGACAAAAATGTCATTCCTCTCATAAAGATATTGTTGATGAGTTAATGTCCATTTGACACAAATCAGGTCATTTTGGGACGGGCTATACTATATACCGGAAAACATCGGAAAACAACCGGAAAACAACCGGAAAACACCATGTTATACTGAATACCGGAAAACATCGGAAAAACAATAAATACCGGAAAACACACTAAATACCGAAAACCACCCTAAATAGGTAACCCGGAGAAGGGCTATACTATAAACCAGAAACTAACCCTAACCCTGTCCCTAACCCTAACCCAGGCACACAGAGGACCAGGCTCCCAGTTACCTATTTAGGGTGCCAGTCTCCGGGTTACCTATTTAGTGTGTTTTCCGGTATTTAGTGTGTTTTCCGGTATTTAGTGTTTTTCCAGTGTTTTCTGGTATTCAATATAACATGGTGTTTTCCGGTAGTTTTCCGGTTGTTTTCCAGTGTTTCCGGTATATAGTATTGCCGTTTTGGGACTAACATATCGTACAATTTATTTATTTCAATAATTAGCTTGTGTGTAGGGGTATTTAGCTGTGGGAGGAAACAAGAGGTTGGACAGGCAAACCCTACCCTTGTCACATACAAGCAGGAAATCAAAACCATCTCACTTGACTCAATGACAGATCTTATGATCTAACGAGCATGCGTTAGAAAATTCTGCCACCCAACCCCCCAGAATAAAACAAACAATTTACCATAGTATACCAGTCTCATGACATATTCGAACTTCTCTATTTATGATACTCCAATAAACTGGTTTAATTTCAAGAGATTTGGTTTCTGTTTCTAGCTCCACTGAACCTGGTAATTGCTACAAGTAAACAAAAGAATAAATTTGATAATATTACTTTGAAGGGTATTTTGTTTACCCTGGAATGCTTATACGGATTACTGACTCAAACTGAGGCTATAAATGCTCAGTGCGGAGAGGTGTCCATTAAATGGGCACAAAACCAGGCTCAACTTTTCTATAGGAAAATTTTGCGTAGAATACGATGCCGGGAGGTAATCAGTTCTTCGCCCATCGGGCGTTTTCAAGGTATTCAGGGTCAAAGGTCAAATGAGTTCATTTGCACTGAAAGTGAATGTGCAGCCATTCTTGTATCATGAAAAGAAGCTGAAAATGATCGAAAGTAATCGTGCACCCTTTCAATAAAAATGTAAACTTGCTAAATCACCTTTGTTAGCACTAGGAAGATTTAAACCAATAAATGTCAGCAGAAAATATAAAAACTACAGCCAAACTTGTTCTAATTAAACATGCATTATGCAAGAGCAAAATCTGCTTATTACAAGTCTTTCTTTAGGCCTGAAATGTTATCTAAATTATCAATTAGACATTAATTAACTTATCCAGACCATAATAAACTCTCGATGTCAAGGCTAGCCTTCGATGTAGGCTGGATTAGATTCCTATATGCCGCTAACGGCCAAAGATAATTAAATCAGAAAAAGTGGATAATCAAGACTATGCTGTTTATATTAATGATTTTAGTAATGATAACCGAGACTATGTAAAAATTTCACCCGTTTCTTTCTCGGCTCATAGTGGATCAATTTGACTGAAATTTTCAGCAAATTACCTTTACACTTTCTAGTTTTTAACTATTATAGCGAGAACTGCCATCTCTTTATCTTATCTCCCATAATGTATCTTTAATAATAGGAACATTTAAAATGTATTTTTAGGTGGTTTGAGCACCGCACTTTTACTTTAAATCTTCCTAGTGCAAAAACAGAAAATTTCACCTTTTGACCTCCAGGGTCACTAAGAGTAAAGGTGAATTTAGCAAGTTTACATTTTCAGCATATTTTCATGATACCTCATTTGACCCTTAACCCCAAAAATGACCCAACGGCAGACTGATTACCACCCGGCAATGTATTCTATGCAAAATTTTACAATAGAAAAGTTGGGTCTGGTTTTGTGCCCATTTGATGGACACCACTGAGCCTCTGGTCTATAATGATTTAAACCAGCAAAAATTAATAAAGGTACATAAATACATTTTTTAAAATATTTTTTAAATTGAAATGTTTTTCGGTTTGTATGAAATAAAATGGGGTTTAACTTTTCTGTGCCTGCAGGGCTAGTGAAGATGGAGGAAGGTGCAGTGTTTAAGTTTGTGAAATCTGAATACGTTTTTGTGTGAAATATAACATGTCTGTAGACATACCTGAACCGCATGAAGTGTGATATTTAACTCATCACCAGGGTCAAACATCAAAGATTTAAAATTATCAGCATTTTGATTATACTTCTCCAGATCTTGCTGATTTTCAATCTCCACAGCAGGTCCTGGATAAACCTGTACAACTTGTTCTGATGTATCACCGAACCTAAAAACAAGCCATTAACGGTTAAAGATGCATTATGTAAGAATTAAATCTGTTTTTTACAGGTCTTTTTTCTAGCTTCAAATGTCATATAAAGTATTATTTAAACATTTATTAACATGATAAGCCAATAATCAACTATTTGGGCCATTGGATCGCTTCGATTTTAAGTAGATTAGAACACTGCTGACATTTTTTAGTTTAACGATAAAACAGATAATAAAGACTTAGTCTCGATTGTCTAGTACCTGTTAAAATAATTAACAATCTATGCTAAATTTGTAAAAACTTCAAACACTGATCCATTAATAGTAATTCTATTACTTACAGTTTAAGACAAACAGGTACATTACTGGCCAGAGCAACACATGTAAACTCATTATATGTCTGACCATTTAAAGGAAAGACAGAGTTATGTCCCTTGTCTTTTGATCCATATACAGTGACATCACAACATGGCCGTAAAACAGATTTCAATGTCTGCAAAAAATGAAATAATGTGGTTTGTTTCTTTAACATTTTTACAATTTTATTTTAGATAAATAAACAATACATAAACAATAAATTATACTCAAATATTATTGGTGGGTTACAAAACAGCCCCAGAAAGGAGTCAAGCTATAAGGGGTTGCATTAACAAGAGTTAAACAAATTTGTGTATGATGGTTCTGGAAAGGAGAAAATTTATTAGGGGTTACATGGAGGTTCTGGAAGGGAGACAAGATATTAGGTGGCCCTGTTTGGGAATCAAGATACTAGGGGGTGGCACTGAAGCCCTGAAACTATAGTTGCTGCAGGAGGTCCTGCAAGAGAGACAACCTATTAGGTGGTAGGCTATACAGAAGCCTGTGCAGGAATCAAAGTTACACTGGTTTTTTGTGTGGGAGTCAACATACAAGAACTTAAACTTCCCCAATGGGTAAGCTGATAATAATTTCCAGTTACTTACCCATAAATCATTGGCACAAGTTTTACAGATTCCGCAATCCTGACAACCATATATATTGGTCTGACAATTACACAGGGATGGTGTGTCTCCAACTATTCCTGACCACGGACATGCTCGACCTTTATCACAGCATTGATTACACAATGTACAAATGCTGGTCCTGACTTTACTACTACCTCGATTATCCCAGTCATGTTGACACCCTATTGATGTGTTTACTGAAAAACAATGAAATAAATTGTAAAAATCAGATTGAGTGAAAATAGTCAAAACATCTGGAGTTTAAACTTCATACTTTTAAATAACTATTAGACTTTACTAAATTCAACAAGCACTGATAAAACTTTTTTGGAAATGTTTCCTTCCGATTAGAAAAATGTCTTTTTCAACAAAGATGATCAAATTTTTCAGTGTTTTTAGACATAAAAACTGTATTTAATATGTCTGGAGGTTAAATTTTTTAAAACTATAATTCTTGGGTATGTAAAATGATTGACAGGCAAATTCTCTAGCCAGTCAGTTTAACTGTCTGTCAGTCAAGACTGCCACATTACAAGCCAAATGAGAGCCATGATTCAGTTCATTAAGGGATGATCTATATTTGGTTGTAAAAATCTTAGAGAAAGAAATAGGGTTTATCATCCACTCGACACAGACTAGGTCATTTTGGGACTAGCATATGGTTCAATTTTATTTCATTAATTCGACTGCGTGTATGAGTATTTAGCAGTGGGATGAAACCGGAGGACCCTGAGAAAAACCACAATGTTGGACAGAGACCCTACTCTTTGTCACATGCAAGTGGGGAATCGAATCCACGCCACTTGTCTCAATGACAGACCTTATGATCCAACGCACACATGTTAAAAGCCATTTGGCCACCCAACACCCCCTCCAAAAATTATAATATCGTACCTAAAGTGGGAGGTATATTATCTTTAACGTTCGGTGATATCTGTAAATCATTCATAATACCATCAATATAATCGGAGAAGAGATAGAATATATTAGCTGTGTATTCCTGTACATCTGGTATCGCTGCTTCATTTAATTCTGCTACTGGACAATAACATCTGGATTCTAACTTGATGTTCTCTGTAAAATAATAATAAATACTATTAATACTATTTAATCCTGCTACCGGACAATAACATCTGGATTCTAACTTGATGTTCTCTGTAAAATAATAATAAATACAAGGTAGAATCTTATGGTTACTCAATTACTGGATGTATTATTATGCAACGTTTTGACAAGGATAATTTGCTTGGTAAAGGAGAGAGTATCCTCAATGAAACATTACATGGTAATATACTCACTAATTGTGTATACATAAAATTGTACCTTGTATTATACGCACTAATTGTGTATACATAAAATTTTACCTTGTATTAATATATTTAAATACTGATCAAACAAGTTACACTGAAACAGTTTCTACCTGAAAATTAGGGAGAGGAGTGTTACATCCACTTGACACCTTCCCAGTCATTCATTTTAATAATAAGCAGGGATGAAACTGTACAAACCTGGGATCAAACCCTTGACTTGCATACATAACAGGCCTGATGATAAACACAATACATAACAGGCCTTACCATAAACATAGATCATAGAAAATCTGGGAATTTTGGGATACAAAAATGTTCAAATATGTCAAATTTATTCAGTTCTGAAAACTATCCAACATTTAAATAGGGAACATTTCAATAGACAGTTTAAATATCTTACCCTCGTTGGCTTCAATGATGGTTTGTACAGCACCATTTTGAAAGACAGCTGTTGATTGGTTTAAAATGAGTATACGACTGTAATTACTGGCTCTGTTTATAATATGTATAAATATATTTGATGTGATTGGATAGTTTAATGTATATGTCCTTTCAACTATAAACATATCCTTCATATTCTCTTTAGCAGACACAAACTTGGCCTGAAATATAGTAAATAGTTATTTATAAGTAAATTTATTAGTATGATATAATTGCTCCAGTTGTTCTCTTTTTTAAAGTATATATAGAGAGGATGGGTTTAATGTCCATATGATTCAATTTTATTGCAACTATTTGCTTGCACGTAGGGGGCTTTAACAGTGGAAGGAAACCAGAGGACCCAGAGACAACCCACATGGTCGGACAAGCAACCCTACTCCTGCCACGTACAAGTGTGGTTTTGAAACCACCTCATTGACTCAATGATAGACCTTATGATCTAAAGCACACACATTAGACCATTTGCCCCACCCCACCCTTTTCTTAGTATATAATAGAAAAACATAACTTACAATTTTATTATTATCTGTCATGATATATTGAGGTAGAGTGTATAAAAAATGTTCATCTGTATTTTTGATACGCAAACAAGGAATTTTTATGATTCCTAAATAAGGCAGCATTTCTTCTAACGAATCATTCTGAAACAACATATAAAATATACAAAGAATGAAAGAAATGGAGTGAAATATCTAAAACAGGCTAAATCAAACCACAAAAACATATTTGTACACATAAATAAAAACAAATATCACAGATAATAAATACAATTTAAAAACAATATTTTACAAATCTAGTATGCATATAAATATAACACCATAGAAGATGATTCACTCAGAGAATAGCATATTATCCTAACTAACAAGTATGCAAAAATAATTCAGTTAAATAAAAGGAGAAGCTAAATTGCTTTTTATGTGATAAATTAATCAATATTTCTAAAAAAAAATTGAACATTTCTCTGATAATCTACGACAAAACCAATCTGAATTTCGGTTCTCAAGAAACGCCTATTATAAATTTTGCCTGCGATTTCTTCAGGAAAAAAAAATAATTTAAAAACAAAAATTTCAAGGTTGTTATTCTCAAAAGCTTTTGGTTCAAAATATCTAAGTTATGAAATTGGGATGGTTCATTTATTGCTCAAGACTATTCAAGACCCCAAATAATTAAAAATCTGATTAGTTTGGCCTATAAAGGAAATTCTGTTTATACAATGTGTATCCATTTCTAATGTTTAAACAAATGTTCAGATTCAAATAAATTTTTAAATAGATTTTTTGTTTTTCGTTATCTATAAAAACTAATGGAATCTATTAAATATTTAATATTTTTAACTCAATGAAATCAACCTAAAATATTTAAAAACAACCAAAATAAAGCAAAATATATTGATCTGGAAATTTATAAATGTCCACAGAATGGTCGAAAATTGATATCATTTCAAATGAATAAATGTTAAAATAGCATTCAATACATGTAATATCTTTCACTAGTAAAATCAGCATCTGATTTAGCACAATGATAGCTTTGTTATTAATGATAATAATTTACCTGTGAGGGAATAAGTTTCAACAGTTGTTTTTGTGTCCAAGCCAAGGTTTCCTGCTCAACACAAGTAGCTCGTGAACCAACTTTATCTCCAGGGTTTTTTAATGCATTAAGACAAGTCTCAAACCAAGTTGGATATAACATGGCTTTCTGTTTCCATCCAGGTATATAAACCACACTCCCCTTTAATAAAACAATATTTTTTATTTCAACTTTTTACAAGATTTTATCAATCTGATTAAAACACAGATTCTATTTCGTTTCGTTTTTTATAGTTTAAAATTTTATTTTACTTGTCTTTACTACACTAGGATCTGGAAGTGTTGTTATATAACCTGTGTTCGGGAAGATGTGGGGGATTAGCCAATAAAACCGTCTGTGCACGGAACTGTGAGGAACCCACTAGAAACATCAACGCCGATTGGCTAATCAAATGTCTGATGGCATAGTGTCAAAAGCCACTCGTATGACCTCTGATGCGATCTTCTACTAGAACCGGTCAGATCTTCAGATGACAGTAAGCACAACAGCATTACCTTTTGTGATGGGTCTCTTTTTAGTCTGATAGAATCTGCGCTGGGTGGTTTGGAATAAATAATATAAAAGAGAGAGAAAGGGGGTGGGGGGGTTAACATAAACTCGACACAAATAAATAACAGAAATACTCACCATGTGTTGTAAATGTGTAATGATATCCATATGTAGAGAGGTTTTGATTAGTTGAGATTTTTTTAACGTAGTAAGTACCGAATTACTGGCTGTCTTTAATTGATCTGATACTTTATAGACATCATGATGTACACTGGAATAACTATTCTCATGACTGACTATCATCTGCTTCAATTTCTCTATTTCTTTATCACACTGTAAAATAAACAGCATAATCAAATAATATTCAAACTGTGTTCAGTTTAAAATATTTAAACATAAAAAGTAAAAATGGTAAAATCAAATAGTAAAAATTTTAAACTAAAAAAAAAAGCAGAAATTTTCAATTTCAAAAGCAAAAATGTTAAACTTCAATTCTAAAACCTAAAAATTTTCAATATCACAACTAAAAATAATTTCAATTTTAAAACTTAACCAGTGGCTGCCAGGCAAGATATGCCCACATTCTGCAAGAGATGGATAGAGAACAAGCTAAAAACAAATGCGATTTTTTGTACAATCAAAGTTATGGTATGAAATGGACAAATATTAAAAGGAACCGAGATCTGTGAGATATAAAGATATGTTTTAAGTTTCATCAAAATCGGATAAAAATTGTGACCTCTAGAGGGTCCACAACCCTCGTATTACATAGTTTTACACAATTTGCGTACAAAGAGCGCCCATTTTTGTTGGATAGTTTCATTTCAATTTTTCCAAAATTCGAATTCAACGTACCTTGTTAATCCTAATACCCTCTACAAAATTGCAAATAACTAAAAAAATATTTTCTATACATAGAAATACTCTGTTACAAAAATGTACAGATTGTCGTGTTTTTTCCAATGATATAAAATTCAATTTTACAAAGTAGAAATTATATTACTATAAATAACATTGAAAAGTCAGTTCCACTAAAATCATGACTTTTCTCTGTCATAATGGTAAAATAACGCGAACAAGTATCCCCTAATAATTTTTTTTAAAAATAGAACACTAATATAGTCCCTAACGTTGGCAGCAGTGTTCAAAGTAAATATAAATATAACTTTTAAAAAGAAATATCACCCCAAGTGACGGTCACTTCCTCGCTATCGGCATTTTTACATTGCTGCCTTTCTTTGGATATATGACGGGAATGGTCGTCTTCTTTGCTTTATTGTGTCAAAAATAAAAATATATAGTTGAAATCTTCGACAATGTAATATTCCTCTATGTAGCTTGTATTAAATCCAAAAAGTTTTGATTCAATTTAGTTTTCCAAAGTCTAGAGGCGTTTTTGTGAGTCGATTAGATTAGGTTTTGATTTGCTAGTACGATTTGGTATGATTTTGATTTGATTAGCTATGGTCCACAAATGTGAAATTTGATAATTACGATTTGGTAAGATGGCTGCCATCAGGGACACTGATCAGAAAAAAAATTGTCTCTGCTAACATAACGAGGGGGGCGTGTGTTTCACGTGTAGTCCAAGTTACCTACAGATTACAGTGACACTGCTGGCACCCAGAGGGCCTAAAATTGCTTAGAGCCAGAGGTGATCTACATTCTTGTGGACTATAAAGTTAACATTAAAGGAGCTAAATCGCTAACATTTGTGACCTAGAAATTGACAAAAGTGGGTCGCAATGCATATAATACTGTAATATGAATGTATATAAACTGATTTACATTCAATGGTTTCCGTTTTTACTCCAATTTCAAATCCGTTATGTTCGGCGAAATAAGCCAGCAGTCTCAAGCAGGTGCAAATTTCTAGCGTCACGTCTGGTTATTCCAGTTTACATATGCCGTTTGATTTGGTGCAATGTGTCTAGCCTCGTCCCTCGAGTCTCTTGATACAACTAGGGCTGAAGCGCATTATGGTACACGATTCGTGTACCAATGGTAAAATGTTTATTTTGTCTTAAATATTGGATATCAAAAGCCCATCTTTTCCCGTTAAGATTACAACATGAATGTTGATATAATTTGACAAATAAATCGTGTTTTCAATGTTGAAGATTTTGGATGATATTGAGTTAGAGACTTAGCTACTTTAAACACATCAAATGCGTTTTAAAAAAAAACATTTTTTATGGAGAAAAACAACAATAAGCATTAAAAATTACTTGCGATGTCGAACATTCCGCCATTTTGAAAACGTCAAATCTAATCGCCTAAACATCTCCTGGGACGATTAGGTCGATTTGCCTAATCAGTTGAGTTAAATCGTCTCACAAATGTAACGATTAGCATAATCAACTTGGTTCACAAATGCGTATAATAGCTAATCGGTCTAATCTAATCGGTTCACAAAAACGCCTATTAATTATTAGCCGTAAGTTTTGTGTTATCGTCTGTTTGAAAGCGTACCGTATCCAAGATGGCGGCGACATGCTTGATCTCAGCTCGAGTATCCGTATTCTTCGCATCATAATGTCAAAAAAAATAACAAATAGTTGATTTCTTCGACATTATCATATTCTACGATATGCCTGGCAGTAAATCATAAAAAAATCTGATTCCATTTTACTCTTCATATCATAAAATTATTAGCCGTAAGTGACAACGTGAAAATATTGGAATAATGCCAAAGTCTTTGACATGGTGTTAATTTTCACCTCTGACCTATTACGTAAATATCCTTTGTTGAAACATATGTTTTTTATTCGATAATTGGCGAATATAACATTCCTTGTCATTGGGTGCTTTATTTTTATTACTCAATCACCATTAATTTATGAAATAAAAACAATAGAAATATGTTGATTGATATGGCGCTTTTGTTCGCTAATGCCGTTGCAAAGTATGATGGGTCCGCGAGTTGATTCGCTACCGTGAGTCACTTGGTGAGAGTTGTTTCGCTATTGTCAAAAATGGGTTAAACGATTTTTACAATAGGAATAAAAATTGTGACCTCTAGAGAATTTGCAAGTTAAAAATGCAATTTTTAGAACAATCAGGGGCCATAATCCAGGTAGTTACGTTTGGATATACGCAATTATCAAAAGGAACTAAGATCTTAGTGTGTATCGGTGATATATTCACATGGTTTTTTTTTAAATCGGATACAAATTGTGACCTCTAGAGGGACCACAAGCTAAAAACATGATTTTACGTAGAATCAAGGGCCATAATTCAGAAAGTTATGATCCAATGAGTTATAATCATGTATTTCAAGTTTCATCAAAATCGGATAAAAATTGTGATCTCTAGAGGGTCCACAACCTTCATATTACATACTTTTAAACAATTTGTATACAATTTCTGATATGAGATCTGTAGATATAGTATAGCAGGGAGTGTGATGTGTTTGCTGCTGCTTGAAGAATGCACATCTTAAACACATGATCTTCATTTATACCTAGAAAACCCCCAAACAAACCCACCCTGCGTCTTATACACCGGAAAATACAGTGAATTAATGATTGATTGCGATTAAAGGATTTCCTCAAATTTAGAGTAAAACATTGGGACTGTGAGAGGATGAACCCTATTGATTTTCAAATTTGGTGTGAAGGATTGGGTTTGGAGAAATTGAACATTATTGATTTTCAGTCTATTCTAGGATTGAATTCATATAACCACAATACTATACACAGTTTATTCATGTACTAGTGGATATCAGAAGTTAAAACCTACCTGATCACTAGCCAAGTCAACAGAGAAAACTTTCAGCCTGGAGGCACTTTTGGAAAATTTCGCGAGACCTGATTTTTGCCACAATAATTGACTGTAGTTCTGTTGTTCTGTCTTATCTAAATTATTTACATTTCTGAAATTGAAAACAAGGCAATATTCTATATCAAATACACATAGTAAAAAAACTGATGTAAAATTTGTTACACATGCGGTAAGAGTATCAAGAGAGATAGGGAGAGAAATGGGGTTTAACGTCCACTCAACACAAACTAGGCCACTTGCGCATAGGAGTCTTTATCATGGTAGTAGGAAACCGGAAGACCTAAGAGTATCAAGGTGACTACATCAAGTCATAATAACATACCAGGAGCCCAACAATCTGTTTCCCAGAGAATTACTAGTCTTCTAATATCTCTGTAAAAGATGACTGTCTTTAACACATGCCGTCACAGTACGCAGCGTCAATCATTGGCTTGTTTACATAAGACGTTACTGTTTTGGGGAAGAATGCTGCCTTTTAGTCATTTTAATACCCATTTACACTAAATAGGAAATAATTTTTACCTACAAATACGTCAAACGTCTTTATTTATTTTTCTAATACATAAAAAAAATGTTTTAGAATTCAATTTGTCGGTGGAAAAAAGTTAATATTTGAGACTCATTAAGTCGCATTGATGTCATCCTTATCAGTGATTGTAGCGGCCTAGCGAATATTCACTGCTGATCAGTGTGGGAGCACTGGCTTACTTTCACCAAACAGTACGTGGCAGGTTTGATCCTGGTGTTGGCTGAGATATTTCCAGCCAGGGGTGACATCAATATACTCCTATATGCATGTATAATAAGATCTAATG